CCCTTTAACAAAAAAAAAGGTTTTTAATTTTGTTTTTTTTTTTTTTTTTTTTTTTCAATTTAATCAGTTTGGTCACATTGAATAATCGACTCCATGATCAATACTTGTGCGGCCACCATTAGGCAGAACTTGGTTTTCAATCTTTCAAATGCCTTACTGGGCCCAGCTTTTGCACACTGTGGTTGTGAATTTTTTCTTCCCTAATTTTGTGTTTTACTGATTAAATGCTTTTGGCTGCAGGTGTATCTGGCGGCTCAATCCATCTGGTCACTAACCACATCAAATTGGTCTCCCGTCCACAATGGGTCTTGTACCAGTACCACATTGATTACAATCCTCCCATGGAGTCCCGGCGCCTGAGAACAGCCTTGCTGTATCAGCACGAAGAAACCATTGGGAAAGCACATGCCTTTGATGGTACCATCTTATTTTTACCAAGAAGACTCAATAAGGTATGTAAAGAGAATTGTGATTTCAAATTGCATTAATGTTAAACTTTGCTTTTGATATTTGTCTACGTCTTCTGCTTAAAGGTTACAGAAGTGTTCAGCCAAACCCGGAATGGAGAGAACGTGAAGATTACAATTACTCTGACAAACGAGTTGCCACCAACTTCACCCACCTGCTTTCAGTTTTACAACATCATATTCAGGAGGTCTGTTCATCTAAATAAACCATAAGTACAGCTCTTAAGCTTTTCCTCTTTCCTTGCTATATATTTTTAATTGAGCTTGCAAATACGACACTTTAGTCCTCCTGCTATTTCATATGTGCATAGATATCAACAGGTTCAATCACTTAGTCTTAATAGAGACCACACTAAAGTCTTTCCAGCTTTGCACATCCGCAGTGGCCATCAGGAGAGAATCAGACTTTCCTTCTTGTCCATTAAGGGTCACAGTAAGTATAAAACCTTAGGGTTATAATGCCAACTACATGAGGACTTGACACTGGCAAACCAAAAAAACCCATACTACTATTAGCATTTGTTTTTTTGCTAGTGACCTAGGAGGATGGATTTCTTTTAGCCTTTCTTATTCAAGACTCAACCTTTTATATGAGTTTTCTGGCAGCTTTGTTTTTCTGTTCATCACTCTGTATCTGCACGTGTTCTATTCACCTTCTCGCCGCTACACAGCATAGTTGAACTTACCCTTGGCTTTTGATCTTTCTGCAACTAGACCACACTGGATTGGAAGTTGGGAGTTCCAGATTGGTTTCTGGTTAAATTGGTGGAGAGGTAAACGAGTCCAGAGCTTTTAGGATTGACTCTGTGCCTCACTTTTGTGAGTAGGCTATTTGGACCCGGCACCAGAAGATCCCTCATTTTAATCAGTTGTGGGCACCCATTTTTTCCTGCAGGCTTGCTGTGGAAGGAATTGACACTGTGGAACTAAGCACTTGACATCACTTTGCACTCTTTCCTTCCCGACCGCATGGAGGAAGCATCTCCCTGTTGCTTCTCCTGCTACAAGAGCCACGTGGAACTTTAATCCCTGATCTGTTACTACTGCCTGCCGTGATGCTTGGTCACCTCCGACCGCTCAGCTCTCTGGTTCACTTTTCTACAGCCACAACTTCTTTTAGACCCTCCTAGGTTGGTTTTCCCAACCCGCAAGGCCTGGCATTCAAAATCTGCAAATCCGATGAGCTCTCCTTGGCGCGAAGGTGCGCACTTTCTAAGGTCTGGCCTTTTTTATGGGCAGAAGTTTTGATACCAGGGTGTAAGAGGCGGTGTCCCAGGGTTAGAAACTTGAGTCTTGTTCCTTGCCCCCTCATTTTCTAACCTCAAATCTCCCTGTGTTCCCTCAGAGCCTGACCGCTCTACATGGGGCAATCTCTGGTCTCGTGCAGTAAGAGTTCATCACCCCGGGGTTCCCTCTTACTACAAGAGGGAACCCCCGGGAGGGAGCTTTCTCCCTTTGAGAAACTATGCGTCTCCGGAGATCCCCCTGCGCGCACGATTTCCACCATCTATGGCTTTTTGCTTTCGGAACGTTCCTCACCTACCCCCTCCTTTGTGAGGGAATGGGAGAGAGAGATGGGTGGTGATCTCACAGAAAAAGATATTGCTAAATCCTTTGCTTTAACTCGCACCATGTCTATAGCAAGCCGCTATCAGGAGAAAAATTACAAGGTCTTGTCGAGATGGTACTATTGCCCCACTAGACTTCAGGCTATGTATCCGTCTGCCTCTGCACAATGCTGGCGGTGCCTGTCGCATCTGGGAACGATGCTGCACATTTGGTGGTCCTGCCCTCTGTTGACCCCATATTGGAGAGCTATCTTTGATACATATGATCAGATTTTTCACACCAAGGTGGACAGGTCCCCAAAGGTGGTCCTCCTGTCTGTACTACCAGGCTCGATCTCCGCTTCTAAGAAGGGCCTCCTCAGATTTTTCATGCTGGCGGCTAAGGCAGTTATACCGCGTCACTGGAAGTCGAGTACTCCCCCTACTACCCGTGAGTGGGTGACCGAAATGCATGCTTTATGCCGGATGGAAGAACTCACTGCGGCTTTGTACCAGCGGGATGCCAAGTTTACTGCTACTTGGAGTGTCTGGTTGCATTTCTGTACAACGGAGAGTTTTAATAGTCTTTTGGCTGTATAATTCAAGGCCTCGGTGATGGAACGCATTTTTGAGTACCCCAGACTCGGGGTTGACCCATAACCCTCCCCTCCCTCTTCCTTCTTCATTCTTTAAACCTCTACCTCTCTCTCCTCTCCCTTCGTTGGGGGGACTAGATGTTTCCACCAGGTGGGAACAGGCGGGAGTTGTGAAGATCACTGTCAATGGCCCAGTGTCCTCTCTGGCTTACAGACATACTTATTAATGCTCAATATGGACGTTTTGTACTGTTGTGTTACATCAATATTATTGCACTGACGTGCCTTGGGAGAGATGGTGGTGGCCACGTCCTTTTCGCACTAGATGTATATGCTCCCTGCCTTCTATGTCCTTCTGTATTGTACTGTTTTGTTTACTGTAATTTACAAACTTCCTTAAACATATTCTTTAAAAGAGTTCATCACCCCAGTCCCTTCTGTGAAACCTTTTGCTATTGCTGGGTTTTTTAAACCAATATGTTCACTGTTGGCAAAGGAAGTATTTTTTTCCATTTTAGACCTCAAGGCCTTGAATGTGTGCATTGGTGGTCACAAATTGTAGACCGAATCGATGAGATCTGTTATGTCTGACTTCAGCTGGGGAGGGGGGCTTCTGGCCTCAGAGGACATAAAGGATGCCTACTTGCATGTACCACATGCTTCCAGCACACCAACGCTTTCTGTACTTTGCTCTGGAGCCTCTGCAGTACCAGATTGCGGCCCTTCCATTCAGCCTGACCTCAGCACCTCGGATGTTCACCAAGGTGCTGGCTTTAGTGTTCAGGCTTTCTTACCACCTACAAAGTATCCTAATAGTGGCCACCTGCATGACCTCCTTTTTGGAGGCAACATTCAGTGAGGGCTATGAAGGACGTGTTCCTTACTGTATATGTTACAGAGGTCTAAGGGGATCCTGAACCTCCACAAGTCAGTTGGACAATACCACAATGGAAGTGTATATCAATTATCAGAGAACAATAAGAAGTCTCGCTGTCTCAAGATGTAAATCAAATTCTATCTTGGGTGGGAAATCATGTTCCAGCTTTGTCGGCCATGTGCAACCCTTGCATGGACAATTGGCAGGCAGTTTTTCTCAGCTGCAGCATCTGCTCCTAGGAGAGTGGGAGAGTGTTTTCTGTACCCAAAGATGTCCCAAGACCTGTGGTGTCGCAGGTGGGGTACATTGGATATGAACCTCCTTGCTTCCAGATTCAACCACAAACTGGAAAGGTTTGTATCCAGAACCAGTCATCCACTGACAAAAGCAGTGGATGTACTAGTAGCTCAGTGGAATCCGAAAATATGCTTTGTGCATTTCTCCCCGAATGCTTTGCAGGATCAAGATGGAGGGCGTTCTGGTTGGTCTCAGGATTAGCCTGGAAGAGCCCAAGGACTAATTTACCACCCTGCATCTCAGTCACTGGCTTTAACGGCCTGCCTGTTGAAGCTCCAGTTTCCAAGGACAGGAACATATCTGAGAGTGTTACCTCTACAATACTTAAAGCTAAGAAGTTTACTTCAGACAAGGTCAACCATTGGACGTGGAAGGCACATTTCTCTTGGTGTGAGTCCAGGAGCTTTCCCTGCAGGAGTTTCTCCATGGAATGGATCCTTTCTTGCAGTTGGGTCTGGACCAGTGTTCAGACCTTTGTACCAAGAATCTGATCTCTGCCCTTGCCATTCTGTTCCAGAGACTGTTGGCTTCCATTTTTTTTTTCTCTACAACGTCTTTTTTAAAGGTGCACCGAAATGAAATTTTCAAAGCGTCAAAGTCGGAGCGAAAAAAAATAAATAATAAAAACGGTGTGTGTGTCTGCATATATATAAAATATTTTTTAACTTTACTGTCGGGGGCTCTGGGAAATATCAGGGATCTAAATAGACCCCTGATATTTCCCTTTTAAATAGAAAAAGAGATTGAGGACACAGTCATCACTTTTTCTGCAGCCCCTGTTATGAAAGTATAGAGGTTCAGAGTGTTTCTATTAATTCATAACTTGTGCAGATCAGCTGATCACTGACTGCTTGTACCTACTCCATCCTGACTCTGTCACAGGATGCGGAGCCGGTGGTGCGAGGTAGGAGTCAGCTGTCAAAATAGAGCTCTCCTCCTGCACCGCTGGCTCGGCCTCCTGTGACAGCTGTCTCTGCTTCTCCATCCTGACTCACTCTCACAGGAGGCTGAGCGGGCGCTGCAGAGAAGAGAGCTCGGTCTATTTTGAAAGCTGACACCTCCGCGCACCACCGGCTTGGCCTTCTATGACAGCTGTCTCCGCCCCCACACCACTCTCCATCCTGATCTGTGACATCGCTCTCCTCCCCGCCCCACTCGGCCGCCTGAAAGTTTCTCTCCTCTCCGCTGGACGCTGCAATGTCAGAGGGGACACAGAGCAGCACCCAGAGGAGAGAAACTGGGAATGCACCGCAATTTTGTCCGAAAGGTGGTCCTTTTCGGTACATCTTCTTGTAGCCATCACCTTGGCTAAACAAGCGTCTGAACTGGCTGGTTTATCTTGCAAGGGACCTTTTTTGATCCTACCTAGGGACAAGATAGTGTTTGAGGCCTAGGCCTTCTTTCCTAGGGTGGTCACTGTGTTTCAACGTAACCAGGGATAGCGTCCTTCCATCCTTGTGTCCAGCTTAAGTTCAGCAGAAGGAGATCTGTCTGTGTTGTCTAGATGTGATCCAGGCTGTTAAAATTTATCTAAAAATAACATCATTCAGGCTTCTGGTATCAAGGATTCTTGTTCCTTTCTTTCCATTAGGCTCACTCCTGGGGCTGTGAGTGCTTCTTGTGCATTTCTGCATCAGGCTCCAGGTTTGTAAGGCTTCACACTGGTCTTCTGTTCACACATTCTCTGTTTTACCAGGTGGATGTTTCTGCTTCACCAGCTTCCTTCCTTCAGAGGGCTCATTGGGCTGCAGGCAGTCCCTTGTTTTTGTTGGGCCTGCTAGCTGTTTTTGGCTATTTTGCCCACCCCATTTGGGACTGCTTTTGGTGTTTCTCAATACACGAGAGAGAAAATGCAATTTTGCGCTCGGCATAAAATAATTTTCTCGGGTTCCATTGAGGGACACAGGTTCCACCCCCAATGTTTATCATGTTTTTGGAACTGCAATTCTGGTAGTAGGAGACACTATGCCCAGGGCTGGCCTACAGTTGTGGTGTGTGTTGTGTTTTTTTTTTTTTTTTTTTTTTTTTCCTTTTTCACTCCT